TTATGCTGACTTGGCTTCAAATAAAGATGATCGTCGCTCTGTAGGTGCTTATTGCATCTTCGATGGACAGAATTTGATTACTTGGAGCTACAAGCAACAGCAGACAATTGCACGTACTAACACCGAGGTAGAATACAAAGCCCTATCGAACACAACAGCAGAATGGCAATGGTTACAATTTATCTTGTCTGATCTTGGCCTACCACTACTGCAACCACCAAAGCTGTGGTGTGATAACATAGGAGCTACATACCTAAGCTCCAATCCAGTCTTCCACGCCAGGACAAAACATATAGAAATTGATTTTCATCATGTTCGCGATCAAGTTCTACAAAAGAAGTTACAAGTGTGTTTTCTTTCATCCAAAGATCAATTAGCTAATCTACTTACTAAGCCCCTCAACAATGTTTGGTTCATACTTTAAAACACAATCTTCATGTCCAGGAGCTTCCCATTCAATTGTGGGGGCGTATTGAATCAAATGTATTTCAGTTGACCAAGTCAGCTACTTTGAATGAGGAGTCAATTGCACTAAATAAGGAGGAGCAGCTTCATCCTAGGCCTGCTCAACTGTCTAACAAAAACTAGTTGTTATATTTGAATACTCATTCCCTATAACAGATAGGAGTAAATGTAGTAAATTAGTTAGACTACACTTCTATATAAAGTGTATATGTGATGCACTTCAAATTATTCAAGAAAACAATAGTTTCTAAAACATCTCTGTTTAGAATTTTTTATACAAACTAATAGCAAATCATAACTACCACAAAGCTATTTATCAGCAACTAGAGACCTAATCAAAGCTATTTATCAACAACTAGAGACCTAATTAAAAGGAACGACCAGCTAAATATCTATCTACCCATGACCCATTCCATCATATCCCACACTATCCCATTTACCAGCAAACACAACAAGTACATAGGCCACATCACACGTTGTGTGCACTTGGTAACCTACCATGCCCGTAATAGTTTCCTTCTAATAGGAGCGTTCATTACATGTGGTTTTTTGCCAGCTTGAAATAGTTCTAACATGGCTTATTTCGGACAGGTTTGTATTCTTTTTGATTTTTATGCCTTCTTGCTTGAGTGACATCTCATTTTAAATAATGATTAATGTAACAATGTATTAAAGGTGAAGTGGTTTGATAATGTTTATATCATTCCATTACTTCATATGTTGCGCTTCACTTTAATGAAAATTGTATCTAAGATTGAGTACGGGTGAAAATTGTCTAAATTTTTTTTTTCACGCATGTCACACATTAGGCTTTATTCATAGAAGACCAGCCAATGATTCATCCAACTATTTTTCTTGGGAAGTTTTGCAAGTTCTACATTGGTGGAGTAGATGGTATGTCCTCCATTATAACTTTTTGAATGATATTGTGAAGAGGATTTCTTGGAAGGAAGGTGTGGTAGAACAAGGAAAATGCATTCATATCACCAGCATATCTCATATCAATTCATTGTAAAGNGTAGTGATGGTAGGTGTGGTGGGGATGGGTGACAGTGGGTGGCAACCTTGGTAGGTGATGACTGTTAGTGGTGGTTGGTGATGGTAGGCATGGTGGGGGCGGGTGACAGCGGGTGGGGACAGTGGTGGGCGAGGACAGGTGGTCTTGATAGTGGTAGTGATAATAAATATAAAAATGAGATGATGATGGTAGTAGACAACAGTGATAGCGATGGTGGGTGATGACGGTGGTGATAGTGGCAATGATGATGATGGTTGTGGCAAATGTGGTGGTGGAATAGCGGCGGTGGCGATGACGGTGATGGTGATGGTGATAGTGGTGATGGGGGTGGTGGGGTGGTGGGGGTGGTGATAGTGAATTGTTTTGTAGAGAAGAGATTTTAAAGAAATAATTTTATTTTCTTTTATTTACTTATTTAAGTGGTAAATCTACTTTTAATTTATTTAAAAGTAATTAAACCTATTATATAATAATACGAATGAAAACAACACTTCAGAGTAGTTTGATGAAATACCTAATTTTAAAATTTGAGTCTTACAAGACACGATATGATTAATATGATATGTTTGATTTGCAAGTGTCTCTAAGTTAGCATTATAAACCCTCCCCCCCCCCTCCCAAAAAAAAACAAAGAAGAAGAAAATAATGGATTCTAGTTATTAATAAAAAAAGAAAAGAAAAGGATTGACAAAAAAAAGCTATTACTCCAAATGAAAATATATCCTCCAAAAATACAAGGACAAGACTGAATTAAGTTGAATTTAATGAAACTAATAAATAAAATATTTGCATTTCACAAAGAATTTCCTATTAATGGCAAATAAAATATAAGGGGCCACCCTGATAGTGAAAAAAAAGGAACACAAACGCGGTCGTCAGGATTCAAACCTGCGCGGGCAAAGCCCACATAATTTCTGGTCATGCCCGATAACCACTCTGGCACGACCACTTGACTATGGTATTGTCAACTTTTAACTATAATTAATCTTACTTTCTCTAACTCCATTGACATTACGTACCCGCAGTATCTTCATAACGTCTAATCTGATCCGCAAAAACAAAAAACCTAAAATTCCAAAGTTTTTTCTCCTTTTCTAGAATTGAACCAACCATATTCCTCATGTCAGCCTTATAATAGAACATGCACAAACTTAGGAATAAATATTTAATATAACAGTGATATAAAATCATCAATTTCTTTTTTTTTAGTACATCGGAAAGTTGGATCTTCAATTTCAATGAAAGAAAATTATTTGTAGTCTCATTGAATATCGATCGGATCCATAGAAGCCTATTAGTGGTCTTCAGAGACACTGATCAAAGACATAGTAATAGATTTCGTAACAAACACGACGTATTTGTAAATTAATGTGTGCATAATATATTTTGAAGGAAATTTTAATCAAAAATGAGAGAGACAACTAAGAAAGTCACGATAATTAATGGGAGAGACTGTCAAGAAGTATTGGTCTGCAATAAAACAGAGTCATGGACCTCATGGTCCAATTGAAGAAAGAGAGTGATGGTTAAGTGTTGTCATGAATGCGTGAGAGAGAGAGAATTAAAGAAAAGAGACATACCGGAGTGAGAAGTTATATGTATTTTCTTATTTTATTTTTTTTGAAAAGTTATCATTTAATTACCATTATTCTAACTATTAATAACTACTAATAAAAGTATGAACTCTCTCATCTCCCTGTGTTACTAGCATAAATTAATACTGACTTAAGCATCAAAAGACTTATTTTTTGCTCTGCTCCACGACGAGAGACCTCTAACCATTTGTCGATCTTGCAACTCTCGGACGGATTGATATTTACAAATAAAGGGATGAACCACAACATTTTTATAATTGGTTCAAGTTCAACTGGTACAAAATTTCCCACTTGCAACTCTTATTTCTTCAAGAACTCAGCTCAAAGACCAAAAAAAATAATTGGGCTGCAATGTTTGTAGTGGGACATCATTTGATTCAATCATGATTAGACAGATAATCCAATTATGTCCACCTCTAATCATGGGCTTCGAGGAAAGCAGAAGTATGTGGACATAAACACACCTTCTAGACCACGCTATACATATTTTTTTCTCTTTCTTAATTTTTTCTTCAAACTTAATCATCATTCTCCTTAGTTTTTATTTATTATTATTTTTAAAAACTTAATCATCATTCTTTTTCTTTCTTTCTTCCATTATCTTTTTATTTTTTAATTCTATCAAATTCTATTATTAATTCAAGAATTGGACCCAACAACAATATTTATAACTTTTCCACGAGCATCAGCACTAATGATATAATTAGGACTCTATAATCAAACATTATTATGTGATGTAACCGTTTAATGATAACTAATTAAATAAAAAAAATAGACCCTACTTATTCAAATAATTACTCGTCCATGTAAAATACTAATCATTTACGTTAAAAAAATGAGGTCACCTTGTTCACTTGTTTATTTAATATTAGATAATTATACCACATGACAATAATTATATGGTGTAACTGTTATACTGAATATTTACTTCTACACAGGGAACCAATACTTGGGGCCACACATTCATAGCAACCCCATATTGATCCACACATAAATAACTAAGGTGCACTAAATAGAATAAAATCTAATCAAAATGGGAAACATGTAATTTAATTCTTGAAATAGGTGTAGAAATAAATGAAAGGACTTAATTGAAACGGAATTGATAGTAAAGAAACAAAATTGTAACAATTAAAAGTTCAGAGACAAAATTGAAACTAAAAATAAAATTTAGGGACCAATTATAATATTTATCCTTAATAATATTGTCGTAAACTAAATATGACACGGTAACGAATATGACCATTTGTGCTAAATATAATCCATGATACAAATACATGTGTATTTGTTAAAAAAAATTGTTACCTTTTTATATTTTTTGCAATACAAAACTAGTTATTATTGAATTCGTGTAACTTGATACGAATTATTTGTTACAAATATTCGACGAGTCATGCAAGTAATATCATCAATATAAATAAACTAGTCAAGTTAGGTTTAGAGATTTTTTCAAAATTATACATTAGTCGTGTTAGTTTATTTGATTTTTTATGTGTAATTTTAACACGATATAAACTACACGATTGTCGGTGCTAATCCTCATCAGATATTTGAAAGAGAAAAATGTTATTTGGACTTAAAAATATGACATAATTTGTTGACCTAATAACGTGACTTCATTGAAACTATTTGATTAATACCAAGTTTTAATGTTTGATAGAGTCCACAATCAATTCAAAGATCATAATAAATTAAATCAACAAATTAAATTAGTAAATTAGGTCCTAAAAACATCGAAAGAAAGAAAGGGAGGGAGGAGACAATACGATAATTTAGTAAAATGTAGCGTCATCTTGAGTTAGGTGAAGTGCGGTCCCTCCTCTACTTTCCTAGTAGTGTCTTCCACTAACAACTCTAGAAAGCTAAATACTTCATAAAGTCTCTTCACGGTGGAAAGAAAGAAGAACATCCACAAAGGAAAAATGGAAACAAGCTTCATCAAGCTTCCCCTCCCCATCTTCTATCTCCTACTTCTCATCCTGTGTCTCTGCAGCGAACCCTTCTGGGCAAGCCATGCACATGCACATGCACATGCCCACACGCCATGCAACGGATCAATCGCGGAGTGTGAGGAAGCCGTGGAGAATTTGATGGAGTCAGAGATTAGTCGGAGGTTTCTTGAACAGAGGAAGTATATCTCATCAGGAACTTTGAAGAAGGACGAACCAGTATGTAATGGTGGAGAAAGTGGTGAAGCTTATTCGAAAAGTGAAGAGTGTCTCCCTCGTCAGTCTAACCCTTATAATAGAGGTTGTTCCAAGTATTATCGTTGTAGGAGTGATTCATGATCATAATCTCTCTTTATGTTCATCACATGTGCTCTTATATTTGTATTTGTATTTTGCGCTCTCTCTCTCTCTCTTATGGAGTTACAATTCAATCTGATCTAATTATACCAAAATGGGAGATCACCCGATTTCAAAATGAATCAAAGCCTTGGATAGTAAAAAAAAGTGAGATGGTGTATTTCCAACGAGGCCGTGGGAAATAAAGGCCCAAATCCAAACAGGGACGCAACCCAAATCCTAGATACTTCAATATGACATACTCAACTCAACAACTCAACAAAGCATTATCCCAATGTTTTTGGGTCGACTATGTGTCAATATGACATAAAATTGAAATACAAAGAAAAATGGTTATTCCAAAATTCGACTAACCATCAAAGTAACTCATAACATAACCACATGAACCATGATCCACTAACTCCGAATCTGAATCAGTAGAAAAAAACTGTTTTGGAGATATGTTGTCTGATCATGGAACCAGTACATCCATTTTTGTACACCAGAAAGTAACACAAGCTGAAGATTTCTCCAAAAACATAGCTTAAAGATGATTGACTACAATTATATTGGACATAAACCAGTTTTATGGTGAGAAAATCTACTTATATGAAAGTTTCAAAACCTCTCGAACGTTAGAGGAGCCATCTGCAACTTCAGTAATTGGGCTAGCAGCCATAACACCTGTAAAATGTGGATCATGTACTCAAACACCATATAAAACTTGCAAGCATACTTCACACACCATGCATGCCTCAAGGCTTACCTCAAGACTTGCCTCAGACGAAATCAAGCACAGAGCTCGGAGGGAATTTTGCCATTGGGCTGGGGACCAAGGTGGAGCAAGAAAGATGCAAGATGGAGAATGTATAACAGTTTTTGCACCTCAATGAGGCTAACAGGATAGGAGTCCAGAATGCTTATGCCCTACAACCAGGGATGGCAATTTTTCTACAACCCACAGCCATTTTTAAGGATATGGGTTGTGATTTTTAACCCATTTAACCAAAATGGGCCGGTTCCAAATTTGACTTGTTGAAACCCAAAACAAAAAGTCTGGCTAGGTACAGACCAGGCAAATAGGTGTTTATAAATGGATAGGAATGGGGTTCGGGTTTGGTATTGGCCACTATTTTATTCTTTTATAAAAACAAAAATGTTATATTAATGCATAATAGTCACTCTATTTGCTTTAGAAAAATATTTTTATTTGTATTTGTATAAAAATTAAAACGGCTGGGTTCAGACAATGCACATGTGTTGGTATGAGAACCCAACCCACCTATTTGACATCCTTGGCAAGCAGAGGCCTGCTCATCTTTTGCAGAATCATGTTTCATGGTCGTGGAGCTCAACTATGAGCAGCTCTCTTTCTCTTTGATTGAAAAATCAGATTTTGTTGAGCAACAATGTAATTATAAAGAGGGAAGACAGAAAATAGAAAAGACCTCTAAGGTAATTAATAAATTATTTTGACCCTATTCCAAAACTACATGTACATGCTTTTGAGCATAAACACAAACATGGATGGCTTATGCCTTTGCCTTGCACGCCTCCCCATAGGCATAAATGTGTTGTCACACTAACCATCTTAAAAGTTTGACTAAGAAATCTCCACTGGGGACGACAAAATTAGTAGTTAACTATGTATTGTTGCTTTACCGTGTATTGCATTTTACCATGAATTTGACCTCAGGGTCATAGATTATGTAGTTTATTAAATGTGGATAAGCAACATCTATATCTCCGACACCAACAATATTGATGACTATACACTACATGGCAGCAATAATCATCTTCTAAAAACAAGACATAAGCAGAGAAGATAAACGAAATTAACTACGACTAGCTAGTCTACTTTCATGCATCAACATGGTTTTGGACGCAAATTAAAGCCAAAAGAAGCAGAAACTTTCGAGATATGCAAATATGACAATATCAAAAGAGGTGTAGCTCACCATCTTTCTCTACCACAGATAGGAACCGCCTAGATCCCCCTCCTACTCCAAAATAATTTTTCCTTACTGCCATGTATACAACTCCATGAGGGCGACTCATGCACTGAAAAAGATAATGTTGAAATTCAACACTAGAATAATTTTTGAATTCACCCACCAAGAAGTTTAGCAAATAGAAAAACTAGACAACAGGAACAAGTACCTTCTTTATAAGTTTATAGAGGCTAGGGAGAGCAGAGATTGATCCGCCCTGAGCAATAATTTGTGTCCTTTCCACTGGTAACTATATGAGGGAGAATTTGATGGACTTCACTCCAGTCACCAGCAAAAAAACGGAGTTCTGCTTGATCTGCCACATCTGTAGCCAAATTTTGAGACTTCTTTAGACAATTAGCATTCACATTGGGAATAGTCAGACATTCCAGGACCTCAGCATCAAAATCCTGGAAATGAATGACAGCGGCACCCTGATACAACAAAACAGACGGTAAATACACCAATAGTTTAAAGCACCTCATGATTGTNGTAATTATAAAGAGGGAAGACAGAAAATAGAAAAGACCTCTAAGGTAATTAATAAATTATTTTGACCCTATTCCAAAACTACATGTACATGCTTTTGGGCATAAACACAAACATGGATGGCTTATGCCTTTGTCTTGCGGCTTGCACGCCTCCCCATAGGCATAAATGTGTTGTCACACTAACCATCTTAAAAGTTTGGCTAAGAAATCTCCAATGGGGACGACAAAATTAGAAGTTAACTATGTGTTGTTACTTTACTATGTATTGCATTTTACCATGAATTTGACCTCAGGGTCATAGATTATGTAGTNATACTTTTAACCCAAATACAAATGTCAAAATGTTGTATCATAAGTTTTGATTAATAAAGTTTAAACTTTTAAAATTCAAAAAATTATTTCACCACTGCAGTAACTATAATTGGAGGGCAGGCAAATCAATCTTCACTGACATGATGAAGTCACAAATTAGTTCCACCTCATTTCTAAAGAGAAAAAATGATTAGTTCCACTTTCCTGACCAAATGCCACAAGCCTTCCTTCTCTGATGGGAAGTGTACATGGAGTTGTTCGAGTCATTTATTCCAGATTTGTAGAAATCTAGTGCATGAAGTACTCAGGTCAATTTGAATGATAAAACTTGTTGGCCATCTAGTTACTAGTCATTTTTGCCATGGTGCCCGTACAGTCACATTCTTGTCAAAGAAAAGTTCTTTACTATTTAAACCTAGATGTTCTTCTTTGCTGATATAGTTTCTTATTAGGAACTTTCCAATCTTTGACCTACGTTTCCTTGAAGTTATGGCTATATAAGTCCAACCAGAAATGCTTCCTTAGTTTGGACTCCAGCTTGANTCTTTACTATTTAAACCTAGATGTTCTTCTTTGCTGATATAGTTTCTTATTAGGAACTTTCCAATCTTTGACCTACATTTCCTTGAAGTTATGGCTATATAAGTCCAACCAGAAATGCTTCCTTAGTTTGGACTCCAGCTTGTCTTGGAATTAATTGTCTCTCAAAAACTCCAGCTTTAAGCTAATTTAAGTACAACTTTCAAATTTATCCTCATTTAAGTCATCTTTTTTATCAAATTGTTGTTAATAAATAAACATTTTAAAATATTTTTAAATTCATTTTAAAATGTATTTCATATTTACCCCTACTATAAATAGTNACTCCAGCTTTAAGCTAATTTAAGTACAACTTTCAAATTTATCCTCATTTAAGTCATCTTTTTTATCAAATTGTTGTTTATAAATAAACATTTTAAAATATTTTTAATTTCATTTTGAAATGTATTTCATATTTACCCCTATTATAAATAGTGCATATCTAATTGATAATTTTTATATTTCTAATATCTAAATATTAGAATGTGAGAATTTTAATATTCCTTTGATTTTTGTGTATTATTTAAATTTTGAAATGATACATATATACACACTTATGGGTATATCTATATTACTAATAATAGGAAGTTAAATGAAAATTTTTTGAATTCCTAAAGTATTCATAAATAATTCTTTAAAGTCATGTGTGTCCTCTCTATCTATGGTACACTAAAATGTTTGTTCTCTATCCCTTTGCAGCAAATTATCCCAAAATCTAAATCGACATAACCCCTCTCCCCAAGCCCTAACTCCCACCGTTACAGCCAAATTCCACCCCCGCCGGTCAATGTATTCTATTTGAATCAGTAGGTGTCCCTGATGGCACACAGCTCCCGAATCCCCACATATCCGTCGATGTCTGCCTTGGGGGGCATCCATGTCAGTGGCGTTGGCGATGGCTTCGTAGTGGCNTTCTATTTGAATCAGTAGGTGTCCTTGATGGCACACAGCTCCCGAATCCCCACATATCCGTCGATGTCTGCCTTGGGGGGCATCCATGTCAGTGGCGTTGGCGATGGCTTCGTAGTGGCGTTGGCGGTGGCTTCGTTCAGTGGAAGATGAAAGGGCAGCCCTCTCCAGCAACTAATACATAACGTCTCACTCCGCAAGGAAGAGATCAATTACCAAGTTCCATAATTGCTGCCCTTACTCTTTCTGCCTCTGTGCACTCTGGGTCTTAGTATAAGAAGTTGCAACACCTATATCAGCAATCAATTTGGGTCTTAGCAATTCCAGTACTCCCAATTGGAATTTGATTCACTCTCTCCATTGGAAGCACACACAGCCAGATTATAATCTTTCTGTTATACAGTCTTGCTAGTTTTCTGTAAGAGGATGATGGAGAGAGAATCTTCGGACGAATATGAAGATCAAGAGAACCTAATCGACCAAAATGAAAGACCAGGTAAGTCTCCCCCCAAACACTCGACTTTCCACATTGACGATTTCAAGAACAGGATNGTTCTTTCCCTTTATTTATTGCTTCCATGTTTAACAGGCTTGCTTCTACCATCTTCTGATCAACAGTTTTGAAACATGTAAAACTTTAAATATGCATTACCAGGTAATGTTTGTTGGTTTTAATCCTTGTAGTCATTCTTAGGTATTTCTATCTCGTTTTACTCTCATGCCAATTATATGAAGTATTCGCATACACCAAGAAGGTGCAGTTGGGATATAATCTTGGTAACGTNCTTTGTATTTGCTGAGAGAACAGCAATTAGGGCTTTTCAATTTATGGAATCATACATTTGCTACCCAATCAAATTTTACTGCACCAAATTCTATGAATTCTAGTGCCAATAGTACTGACTCGAGTCCGGCATTACATGATCTTTTTTCGCCTTTATCATCTCCTGCATTGTTAGAGGATCTCAAATCTGTGGTGCTTAATCAGATCAATTTCAATAAACAAATTCAGCAAGTTTTGTTGTCATCGCATCAATCCGGAAATGTTTTGGATGTAGCTGATAATGTTACGGATCCGAGTCTTTATGTTGGCGTGAATAGGTGCCGAAAAGTCGATCAGAACCCTTCCCAAAGGAGAACAATTGAGTGGAAGCCGAGATCGAATAAGTTCTTGATTGCAATTTGCACATCTGGGCAAATGTCGAATCATTTGATTTGTTTAGAGAAGCATATGTTTTTCGCTGCAGTACTTAGTCGTGTTTTAGTTATTCCGAGCTCCAAAGTTGATTATGAGTTCAGTCGTGTCTTAGATATCGGTCACATAAATAAATGCTTGGGGAGCAAAGTTGTTGTTACATTTGAAGAGTTTGCAGAGAATAAAAAGAAACATTTGCACATAGATCGATTTAAATGCTATTTCTCCTCGCCACAACCTTGTTTTATGGATGATGAGCACGTTAAGAAGTTGAAGGGGTTGGGGATTTCAATGAATAAACTTGAGTCTGCTTGGGTTGAGGATGTTAAGAAGCCAAGAAAGAGGACAGTTCAAGATGTCATGGCAAAGTTTTCTACTGATGATGATGTTGTTGCAATTGGAGATGTATTCTTTGCTGATGTTGAGAAAGAGTGGGTGATGCAGCCAGGTGGTCCTATTGCACACAAATGTAAGACTCTGATTGAACCAAGTCGTCTTATCATGCTCACTGCCCAGCGATTCATCCAAACATTCATGGGAGGGAACTTTATAGCACTTCATTTTCGGCGTCATGGGTTCTTGAAGTTTTGGTATGGTGTTCTTTCCCTTTATTTATTGCTTCCATGTTTAACAGGCTTGCTTCTACCATCTTCTGATCAACAGTTTTGAAACATGTAAAACTTTAAATATGCATTACCAGGTAATTCTTGTTGGTTTTAATCCTTGTAGTCATTCTTAGGTATTTCTATCTCGTTTTACTCTCATGCCAATTATATGAAGTATTCGCATACACCAAGAAGGTGCAGTTGGGATATAATCTTGGTAACGTGGTACATGCCTTTGTTTGTGGTTCAATCAAAATTTTATTTAGGTTTTTTTTTTTTCTTTCTTTTTTATTGTTGGCAATGAGTGTTGAGCCTTGACTACTCCACTCAAATAAGATGTAATGCTTGTGTATAAGGCATACATCATCAATGGTCATACGAGTAAAGTTTATTTCATGAATGTGGGACTATCATATGAGCAAGTATGGTATGTTTCTGTATATTCGCATTCATAGAGATATGCATCACAATGTCCCTGACAATTCTTACTTTATTTTGTCAGCAATGCCAAAAGTCTAAGTTGCTTTTATCCCATTCCTCAAGCTGCTGATTGCATTAATCGAGCAGTTGAAAGGGCCAATACTCCAGTAATTTATCTTTCTACAGATGCTGCAGAAAGTGAAACTGATTTATTGCAGTCCCTTGTTGTGCTAAATTGGAAGATTGTACCACTTGTGAAGAGGCCAGCTCGAAATTCAGCTGAAAAATGGAATGCTCTATTATATAGACACAACCTTGATGGAGATCCTCAGGTAAACATGATTTCTTTTCTATTTTTTTAGTTCAAATATACATAACAAGCCATTATCTAATATTACATATACATGTCTTTGTTCTTTTCATTGGATGCATACCATCAATTAACCTAACATTTACAACCCGTTTTAAATTTTTTTTTCAATTATTTGGGAAGTATGTTGGGGTTAGAATGCATTTAGTTCAATTAGTTGGTGCACACGTGCGTTGTATGTCAAATATTTTGAATTTTTGTAAAAAAAATAGATAAATTGAACAAATTTTCTTTATATAGAGATGATTATATATTACATGATGGTTATTGAATTTTATGGGCTCACTTGTTCCCTTGTTAGTGGACAGTTACAGAAAGTGGCACTGTTAACATGGGGTAATTGTGACGCTTAAGATTTTTCTCGTATTTTGGGTTATATGAACTGAATTGCATAAAGTTCAAAAAGGAAAATTGAATTGCATTGCATTTAAAAACTGTAATGTTTTACTTCAGTAAGTGATTAATAGATGGATGACTACTGATTTCTTGGACTAATAAGAAGTTACTACAATAGGTTATTATTGTCTTTTTAGCTTTTTAAGGATAGTATTATCAATTAAGGTTTTTTTTTTTGGACAAGTATTGACATTCAAAAGTAGTATATAGATTATTAGATATATTCGAATATTTATTTTTTAGCGAATTTGGATATGCACTGTGTACCTACAAACGTATACAAATATATGATGTAATTTGGTGATTATTTAATAAAATTGAGTATAAATTCATGTGTTAAATATTAAAATCATCTATAATTAATTTATTCAGATCATAACGAATATTTATTTTAACGGACTCATATATGCACTATAGAAAATTAAATTTTTTGGACAATTGAATTGGATTCGGATCACATTGTTCAAATCGGATTTGGATCATTTTATATTGTTTGGAAAGAAGATAATCAAAAGTCAAATAATGAATTTATTAGTTCAATTAATACAACTAATAAAAAAATAAAAAATTTCTCAAAAAATGATATAGTAGACATTATAGAATTTTTGAAGGATAAATAATGAAATCAAAAGTTTTTCACTTAATCCATTTTTATTAGTAGTATAGATTTGCTTCTAGAATTGTCCACGTAGTATGTAAGGCGCGCCTTAAATGTTGAGCCTTTGTTGCTCTCTTTTCAAATTTGATGCAAAGCATGTATAATAGGCTGCTATATCTTATTAAATCAGATCTCACCATTATATTTGTGAGGTTACAAGACAATCTTTCCACTGCACCTACAATGACCATATATGCTGGTGTTAATGTAAAAGGATTGAATCTTAGGTTTTTCATTTTATTAGCTTATACCAATCCATAGGCTGTTAAAATAAAACCAAAAATTTTATTTTGGATCATTGCTTCTTTCAAGAGATGGAATTTTTGCATTTTATTTTGTGCAATTTGAGTAAACTTGTGGTCTAAGAAGTACGGACACGGATACGATACGATACGGACATGCAGACACGACATTTTCCAAAAACATAGGACACAAACACGTTATATATAATTGTGTTTTATATATAAAATTATATAATTTATCACAAATATAGTGTTAATAATATATTATTTATAAGAAATTCAGTATTTTATGATAATTATATGTTATCTCTAATCATATAGTGTGAATATTTAGACTAACTTCATCATAATAAATAATTATCAATTTTTTTGTAGACGTGTAGTATACATATATAATTTAAATGATTGTTTTCATCTCAATTGCTCTTTTTCAAATTTTTTTTGCATATTTTACTTTTATTATTATATTTTGAGTACCACTTTAATATGTCTACTCTTGGTAATTATATGTTCTCTCATAGTATAAGATACTTAATAGTCAAATTTTTAAGTTTGTTAATCACATGTCAACACATATTTGTTGTTTAGTAGTAGACACGATTTAAAGAAGTGTCAGACGCATCACCAAAAAAGTGTTGGACAAATGTCTGAAATTAAAATTTATCATTTAATTATGGACACAGGTAAAAGAGTATCGGACAAGCGTCCGAAGAGTATCGGTGTCCGACACGGATACGTCACCTTTTTGATAGTGTCCGTGCTTCATAGCTTGTGGTACTATAGTGGGTGCCTGAAGGATAAATGATGATAGTCATGCTTCAACCTTGCCTACTCAAAAAGGGTGTGGAGTTAATGACATGGAAAACAGGAGCTGATTTCTTCCCTTTTGTTTCTGTGAATGAGTGTGGAGTTAATGGCATGGAAAGTAGGAGAATAATTTTTCCCTTTGTTGTTTAGGGAAGAGAACTAAGAAAACTAATTTTATGGGTTGAATACCCCAAAAACACCCAGTGACACAAGTCGGTCTTATGATGGATGATCTTTGGTGAATGAATGAAGGCCTTTGGCATTATGTTGTTTTGGGTCAAAATACTCATAGAACTTCAACAATAAGCATGCTAGTGGATTCCTCATGTGAAAACTTTAAGCCAAGAATTGCCAAAGTGGAAACCATTTTTCCACTTCAAACAGGGTGGGTGTTAATGTGTTAAGAGTATTTTGCATGTAAAAAATTAACTTGAGAATTTTGTGGAGTGACATCTTGAGCACTTTGTAATCTTCAGAGTAAGAATTATTGCCAGATACCAATATTAATGTAGTGTTATATGGTCCTTCAAAAATCCCGTCCCCACCCTACAAACACTTTTTGGGAGAAGTCAGGGTACCAGGGCTCTGTGATATACTAGTAGGACTACGGTAAAGGATTGGGGCTGATTAGTAAAAACTTGAGGCCCATGAAGTTGCAATATTTCAGGCTGCATTTTCACTCAGACCCATTGGTGTTTTCCTGGTTTTTTTTTATCAATAACGGATGATCATGCCAACCATGTGTTCTTTGGGCTTATGACTGCACCGCAAATTGGGATATGCTCATACACATCTTGAAACCATACACATTGGGTAAATCAGAGTTCTCTAGCAAGTTGAACTTGAGACCATGACCAAATAAATTTTAAAAGTCTTACCTCCCAAGCTACCATAAACATTATGGGGTTGTCTTACTTCTATTCTTTGCAGAACTTCTTGTCCATTGATTTTTACCCTAGTTTCAACAAGATGCCACTCTCAACTCACTGTGTATTCACTTTCATTTTGAAGGTGGAAGCTATGCTGGATAAGACCATCTGTGCCTTGTCTACTGTGTTCATTGGATCATCCGGATCAACTTTCACAGAAGACATTTTGCGGCTTCGGAAGGACTGGGGATTAGCATCACCCTGTGATGAGTACCTCTGTCGGGGTGAAGTGCCGAATTTTATTGCAGATGACGAATGAGGGAGATAGATTTGCCCACTTCTGGCCCTTGTCCTGGGTCACCTTTGCTCCAAAATTTTTTCATTGCTGAAAATGGCTAATTTGGCCTGTATTCTTGTGTATGTTTATAGCATAGGAATCTTTCTTATTAGTATACCTCTTTTTTTTCACTTTCTCGAGGCACGTTTGAATGTTATTTGTCTAATGGTCTGGTGCTTGTGAAATTAGCCTCTCATAATAGCTCACATAGATGATCTTTTGTTTTTTTATTTTTTTTCTTTTTCTTATCGTTTGGGTTGGGATGTTTTCTTGATTAGCTGTGGATTATCACTTTCATCTTTGTTTTATTAGTAGTTTTACAAATGATCACAAGTGTAGGATTGAGTCCTTAACGTGCCTTTGATTTGTAATGATAATTATTTCTTTCTAAATGTGGCACTAGAATCCACTGGCAACAGAACAATCCATAGATAAGGACGGTTGGCTAAACACTGGTGATATTGGTTGGATTGCACCTCACCATTTAGTAGTCGAACTTTTAGGCTCGAGTTCAACTCAATTATCACCCCTAACTATAGTTCTTTTGAACGGTATTCTAGAAGCTGAACTTTTGTAATGTTGTCTGTCTTTCAAATGACACTTGGCAGTAACTGTGATAGCCTTTTCCTTTTTTTTCAGCTTGTTTTATTTGTTCTCTTCTTTGCATATTTGCATGGAAAAAAAAAAAGCAAATAGAGGAAAAACCGCAAAGACACCAATTACTGAGCCATGCGTAACAATAAGATGGCAATTATCTGCACATGCATCAATTGTTGTACATTAGCAAGGTTGAAAAGTCTTTTCATTCTGAAATTGATTCATTGTAGGTGACCCTTGAAACTTGATTAATTGTATGTTAGGGTTAAGGAAAAGAAATAGAAGAAGAAGAGAGGAAGAAAGAGAGTATGAAACAATATTGTGTAGGGTATGTGTTACCAACACAATAGGACAGTAACATAATAGGGAAGTCGAACAATAGGAAAATAGCACTCTAACAGTGACAAATTATCCATTTTGTCTAGCATCTTACTTGCCATTTATGTAGTCATTAATTTCACTGAAATCATATCTCTCTTGCTATAGGCTTAGGATAATTTTTCCGGTGTTTCTTTGGCAATCTGGTATTTTACTCGAGAGGAGCAATATTCTTATCTGGGCAATTGACAGTTTATAGAGAACACTGTTTTGTTTCTTTTGAGTTAATTATTGCGGTCTGGCTAATCTACTAATTTTCTTGTGTTTCTTCAATGGGAGGTACATTCCTTTGACTTACAATTTTCATTGCAGCCATCAAGATGTTCTTTATCCTCCTTGTTTATTTGTCCAAAAACTACTAAACTGATTTCATATGTGGGAAAAATAGGTGAAAATGTTGAACCATCAGCTTGAAGAAGCTGCCATGAGAAGTAGTCTGATTCAACATATTGTTGCCATTGGCCAGGTGAAAATTGAGCCATTCTTTTTAATTGGGTTTTTCCAACTCCTTGTTTCCTTAAAGTGTGCTCACTAATATGCGTCCACTGCCAAGCTGAAATTTAACTTATACTTCTGTGGGGTGATGGCATCAATCACTTGTAGGATCAAAGACGACTTGGGGCTATAATTGTTCCGAACAAAGAAGAGACTTTAGTGGCTGCAAAACAGTTGTCTGTCTTGGATTCTGATGCCTCTGAACTTAGCAAGGAAAAAATGTCTACGCTGTTGTATGACGAGCTGAGGAAATGGTAAGACTTCCAGTTCCTCAAGCCTTTGCAAGATTGTATTTTTTTGCTTCTAACTCATATGAAGTATTTTTGGTAGGTAAATTATGGTCTTGAAGTTTCAAACTAGAGCTTGGGCCTTTTAAAAGATTAGAAAAAGCAGTTTGGAGTATTGGGAAAGTTGGTGCTACTTGGTGATGATACTAGAACCAGATACTGTCTAAATGTATTCTAGTTTACTGCTGCTGGTTTTTGATAATGTTCTTCTAAATAAAAATAAATCAGCTAAACGATATTGCCATTTTCGTGCAACTGAATTATATTACATAACAGGATATTTGCTTTCCTATCGGATGTTTACACGCATGTTGCCGAATCAGATAAAGCAATCCATCCCACACCAGTTTGCCAAACACACCTATTTGCCGGTTTTATGAGTTTGCCCATTCATAGGGTTTGATAGTGCTGCTTCCAATGAATCATGGCAAATCAAGAAGCCACCAGCAGAGCCACTGTTGCATCAGTTTTCCAGTCATATTTGTTTCTGTTTGTTGGGTGTGTGTGTATATATATATATATACATACATATTTATTTATTTATATGTAGAGAGGGAGAAAGAGAGAGAGAGAGAACTGAGATGTATTGAGAACTCCAAATAACTTCTTCAGTGAGGAAGTGCAACAGAGTAGGGAAGGGCAAACTAATCCAACTTATAGAAAGGAGACAAAAACAACATTTGGCAGGTTTAATTGAAATTGGCGCCAATGTATGTGCCAAATGGCAAGTAAGATTTTTGTGGCCCACCTCAGATTCTGTTTGGTAAAGTTTTTAAAGAATGTGTCCTTGATGGATGAAGTTTATAAGATGACCCCACAATATAATAAAAGGGGGTTCTATACCATGTAGTTTTGACTGCAAGCTAAAAGGTGAAAAATAGAAAAGGAACAATAGTGTAGGATAAGGAGATAATTGGTGAGATGGAGATTATGCATTTGTTACTGCACTTTTTTATTGACCAGGTTTATCATTTTTTGTATGATTGCAGAAGAAAGTTCAAATATTTTGGAAACCCAAATGTTCAGGAAAAGTTGCTCCTTGGCGTGATTTATATTTGAGTAGTTCTTGAGTGCTCTGATTTTGCCACCAGGAAGCAAGACGCTGTAGAATTACAAGCGCATTTTAATAAATGATACTTCTGCTAATAGTTGTTGAGATTTCTTTTTATTGTGGCAGTGTTATTATTTTATCCAAGCATTACTGCAAGTTCCATATAGCAAAAACATGATTCAAGTAATCACAACTTCCTCCTTGGAGGCTACTAGCTGCTAGTCGAGCGTATGAGGCCAACATCTTAAATAGCAAATCGTCTAAATTGATGCAATTTGGAATCATTGCTTGACTCGAGTAATGCTACTTTCTCCAATTTCTTCGCAACATCGACTTTGAAATTATTCCGCAATACTAGACTCAAGAGATGCTACTTTCACCAAATTTGTACCTCGAATTCTCCTCACAGATTGATGTGACACATTCTCTACCATCAGATAAGTGCATCCCTTTCATTCCTAACAGTGTTGAATGTGTTTTGGATAAAGAGCAGTGTAGGGTTTAGGATGTTGTGCATTCATTCCTCCATTGTCAGGTTGAGGGCAGAAGTCTCTGTAAAATCCACATTTCTAGTGAGTGGACATGAGAAGACTAGATGAACATCTGTTTCAAAGCTTTGATGGCAAAGTGGGCAGAATATATTTGGGATTGGCATTCTTGTTGCTAGGAGGCCTTTGGTTTGTATTCTATCTGTAACCATTTTCCACAGCATTACTATGTGTCTGCCATAGTTTCTTCCTGTCACTTTGATTTAGGAATCATATCTGTGACTTTGTCAAGGTGTTTTGGAATCAAAGTTGCTTGTTTTGCTTGGTATCCATGCCATTTAGTCCTCTCTTGGAAAGGCTCGGAGTTGATTTTCACTGTCAAGTGTGTGGCAAACGGGTTTTGGTAGCATAAAAAGGATTGCATGGCATAAACTAGCATGTCCAGGGCAAGAGTTCTGGCTAATTGATTACAGGAAGATAAATTGCAGGGAAGGCAGTAAGGTGATAGCGGGGGATATAAATTCCGTGCATTTTACGGGAGATGCCGGCTATTATAATAAAATAAAATAACAAAACAGATAATAATTACACGTCATGTTATTTACAGAAATATAGTATTGAATAAAAACTTGTGGTACCAAAGTCAGATCCCAAAGGTGAAAGTTGGAAAATGGAAAGTGAGAATGCAACTAAGGATGTCTCCTCCAGATTAAATATTCATTGTAACAGTAATATATGTCAACATTGTTATAAGATTTTGCTAACCAATAATAAAACATCAAATGAGTAAGACAGGGCCGACCCAAGGCCTAGGCCACTTAGTTGGCCGCCTAGAGCCCCCAATTTTTACAAAATTTTGAGACCCCTTGTTAAGAGTTTTAGTCATAGGTATATATATTTTGGATAAGCTGGTTTGAGAGGACCCAAATTTTATTGATAGGTCCACACTTCAACAATTTACCTAGAAAATTGCTACATTTGCCGACTGTAATAGACTATTAGACTTCCACAACAAGGACAGATAATGTCTCTCTCTCTCTCTCGTCTGTGATGGAATTAAGCAAATCTCTCTATATCACTCTACCTCTCTAGCACAAATTACAGGATTCACTCACAGAATTAACGTCACTCCCTCACTCTCTCTCTCTCTCTTTCCGTGAAGGTTGAATCTAAACAAAGAAAAAATACAAAAGCTCTCTATTCTATAATCTCTTGTAATTCAACAAACTATCAATTAATTGATAGTGATCAAGATTCAAGGGTCAGAATTTTTTAGGCTCAATCTACTATATTAAACTAGTTTGTTTAATTGTTCTCTAATTTTTTATTAGAAATTTAATATAAATTTTTAGAAGTTTAGTGTGCTTAGAATTTTAATATGTTGATTTCATATTTTTGATATTATGGTTTATTTAGAATGTCTCTTTTGTACAAAAACTTAAATGCTTGAATCTTGATAGTTGATTTCTGCCCTTGAATTTTGATGTTGTGAGTTTTGTGATAAAGCCAAATGTTTTGCTCTCTCACAGTACCAGATTGTGTTGTTCTTTAACTTTTAATTTAGTTTTTATAAATTTTCTACTATAATTTTTCGTTGTTGTAACTGTAAGTTATATAATTAGTATGTCTACTCAAAAATATGATTTTAGATGTGAAAAACGTAAAAAGAAGAGAAAACAAGATGAATTTATTGAATCTCAAAAAGGAGCACTCAATAAATTTGTTATTAGTGATAAACAAACTACAATAAAAATTTAATCAATATTTTTGAATCTAAAAAAACTTTGATTAAATTTATTTTAAATGAATATATTTTAATAATTATTATATATTAATGAGGCCCACTTTCATATTATCGCCTAGGGCCTCTAGATTTAATGGGTCACCCCTGGAGTAAGGTGAACTCTATTTGAATAATTATTGGATTACTTGGAAAGAGAGTGAGTTCTTATTAGCTTACATGGAGAGATAGTTATTAATTTATAAAAAAATGTTACTTGAACTTAAAAAATTGACTTGATTTATTGACTTGATCAATCACAACTATTGAATAGGTAGTGAGTCTCAATAAATACTGAAGCTCACAGTTAAATCAATGATAATGATTAATCAACTCAACATTTTAAGTCCATACAGCATTGCTCTAAGTTGTGTGAAATTCATTTCTTAATTGAAAAAACATCAATAAGTCCTATTTTTCCTTCAAAAGAACCATTAAGTCATATCATATTTATCTTAGGGTCATACTTTGGATAATTTATTCCTAAGAAGTCTTAAACTCCATTAATGGGTTATTTTGTTCCAATTTTATCATTCCCATTAAAATACAAATTATATTTTTGTTTATAATTTTATATTCAATTATATTTATTAAAAAATGTATCTTAAATAATTGACAAAATGCCCCTCAAGTCCTCTTTGGAAGAGAAAATACTTGTTACAACGGTGATATCACAACAAAATACTCAAAATATATTTAAATATTATATTATCTACATTAGCTAACCACTTTTTCAAATTCACTCCAATAACGTTATCTATTTTAGCTAATTAACTTTAACTAACTTTCAGTAATAAAATTCAAAAAATAGAAATTCAACTAGACATGTATAAATTTAATCAATTATGAGTTATAAGAACAAATATCATAAAAAATGAACTATAAGAGTAAATATGGGCTATTAAGAATAAATATCATAAGATGGCTACACGAGTAAATATCATGGATCTACAGAGCTTCATCAAAATCCCCTTCAAAGCTTCAGGGCTCCCAATTCATAGAGCTTTAGAGCCGATTGAGAGATAGAGAGAGTGAGATTGATTGTGGAAGAGAGCGAGAGAAAGAGAGCCTACTAGAGATGGAGTATCTGTGATGAAGACGATGCTGTGGATTGTGCTTGGCGATGAAAACGATGTCTTCTGTTGAGAGAACCTTCTGTGGAGCTTTTGTGGACTGATCTGCGATGATGAAGACGATGCCTTCTGTGGACTGAGCTTCTGTGGAGGTTTGTGCATTGAGGATTTTGGCGCAAATCCAATGATTTNATTAAGAAATTGTCAGCCATACCCCCTTCTATTTTATCATATTTTTAAGAATGCCTTCATTATTATCAAAAATATCATTGACACCCCTTCTAATTTATATTTAAACATCATTGACACCCNGTGGAGGTTTGTGCATTGAGGATTTTGGCGCAAATCCAATGATTTTGGAGGAAATACCTAGCCTGTTCAGTCGCTAAATCCAGCAAGCCAATATTGGCTTATGGATAATAACAAGCAAGGATACCTAGTCCGTTGGAGCCAAAATTTGTGGACTGACTATCTAAAATAGCTAACAAAGCTCTTTTACATAACCTGTTGGAGATGCTCTAAGGCTGATGAATGCATTGGTCAAACCTTCTTCATCAACTCCAACTATGTGCAAGACGCCAACTTCCATCAAAAGGCTAGGGAGCCGTTGGGTTGCCTGGGATGGTTTTTT